ATCACAGTACCACGAGGTGGTTGTTTTAATTGTTCATCTTAGTCACCCTCTTCCAAATTGTTTTCCTCCAAAGTTCTGGTAAGCCTTGATCACCTATTCATATTAATAAATGAAAGGACCATATACTACTTAGTACTTATAAGAAATAAGCATTTTTTCTCAACAGCTATGTTTATCTGTCTTCAAAACATGCAAATGAAATTTTTGTGGGTCTCTGCAGGTAAGCAGTATGTGAACAGACAGGTTTCCCTTTAGAAGTATAGAAAAAGAAAGCAGTTTGTTTTCCTTTTTGCTGCCAAAATAAGGTAGACTGTATTTATATTGTAGGGTCCCACCCTTCTCACCCAATCTATGGTGGAAGTTCATTATTTAAAGATCTGTGTTGTGCACTTTTTCTAGTTCCAGATCCTGCTTAGAATGCCTACCCCCAACCCACCTCAAGGTAAACCCCCTTCTTTGCTTGAAAAGCTGTTCTTATGCCTCATCTTAGGAACCAATGCCATCGCTAGAGCTCTTTCATAGCAAAGGAGGGAGAGAGGAAGTAGGAGAAGCAGCTGTTTTGTAGGCAGTTCTTTACTTATTTACCCTATTGTTTTATCATCCCCAAACCTGATCCCTCTTCTTAAACTTGTTAACTTTATATTTAGAGTTTGGGGAAAGAGACCTACTAAGAGATTCTCTGACTTCATCATGCAGCAGGAGAATCTATTTTGGATTGCATTTTATTTGGTGCTGGTTTCCTAATCAAAATAATTCCAATTACTTTTGATTACCCAGAAATTCCTTAAAATTCCTGGTATTATTTTTTTTTATTTTTTATTTTTAGCTGCAGATGGACACAATATCTTTATTCATTCATTTATTTTTTATGTGGTGCTGAGGATCGAACCCAGTGCTTCACATGTGTGAGGCAAGTGCTCTACCACTGAGCCACAGCCTTAGCCCCCAAATTCCTGGTATTATAACAATAAAAATAATGATAGCAGCTAACATCAATTCCACATTTGCTAAATGTAAAAAATTCCAAGTGTTTTATATACATTATTTCTCTTGATTTTCATAATTTTAGGAGATACAAAGTATTATCATCACCTATCATCATCCTAATTTTATAGATAAGAAAACTGAGGCAATAAAAAAATAAGAATAAGCAACTTGCCCAACGTCACACAATTGGCGAACAGCAGAGCCTGGATTCAGACACAAATAATCTGGCTTTAAAGCCCCCCCCCTTTTTTGTTAAATATAATTATGATTTATTCATTGTCTTATATTTGTTTTGCCATTTTTAGTGATACCTGAGAAGTAGAAGAGGTAAATGGGTACTTTCAGTTCATTATTTCATGATGGAAACCCACCGTTTTTACTACATCAGAACTGTTCACTTTTAATGGTAGAAATATATTTTGAGAAGATGCGGGATCTAGTGAAGAAATCTAGTGACAGAAAGCAGGCCAAATGAAACTCTTCAATCACCAAAAGAGGTAAGGTAAAGGATTCCCAAAATGAGAGGCTTAAAAGTGGCTATTTCCAAAGTGTAGATAAGTTAAAAAGAAAAAAACCTAATGAAAAATTAAACAATAGCATTTTCATGTTCTTAACAGTTCATTAGTTCACTGTCACAACCACCAGAGAGAAGCTGAGAACATACTAAAATTTTAGACCCATCCTATTCCGTGACAGCAGCCTTTTAAATAATTCAACTCAAACACACATGCACTATGCTACAAACTAGAGATAAAGAAATGAGAGGCACTGTCCCACAGTCCCTGCCCTTACAGAGCTTACAGTCTAATGGGAGGCCCAGATAAGAAATAACTATAATTCCATGAGATAAATGTTAGTACAGGTAGGTACACACGGTACCACAAGAACAAAGAGGGGTCAGGTTTGCCAGGGAAGTTTCCCTGGAAATAATCCTTAAGACTAAGTATTAGAGAATCAAAGTGGAAATGGGCCTACCAAAGAGGTTTTTCTGGGAAAAACAAAAAACTTTTAGACTAAATGTTTAAATGATGAACTACTGTTAGTTTGCAGAGATGAACCTGAATTATCATGTGTTTCCTAACCCTGACCCTCTTGTCTACCTACATAACACCTAGTGAAGACACTATGGTGCCTTTTTTGATTCTTCCCTCCTCTTCAATTAATCACTAAATCTTATCTAATTCACCCCCCCCCCAAATCAATCCCCTACCCTCCATTCATACTATAACTACCTTAAATCAGGCTTTGTCATTTCTCACCTTGATAACTGTGATAATTTTGTAACTGGTCTTTCAATTAAATCTCTCCTCTGGCTAAAAAACCAAATCTGATCGTGAACTTTCCTTGACTGGTGTCCACTAGAGCCAGGCCCTCTCCAGCTTCTGCCCACCCCTTTCCTACTATGCTAATTGAGTAAATGCCTTTACTCAAGCAACTTGCTGGTCCCAGTGGTTAGGAACACTCCAACCTTCCCTTGCTAACATCTAGTCTATAAGCACATCCCTTCTGAAAAGTCATCCTGAGGGCCACTCCTTTCTCCCCCTCCTCCCCTGAAGCTGAGCCAGGAACCTCTTCTGTGTACCCTTTTGCCACAATGCCTCACTGCAACACTTATCACAAAGAATTATGCTCAAATTCCTTTGTAATTGTCTGTTTACCTGATTCTCTACGTCTATACGTCATCAAGCTAGGACAGTGCCTGACATACAGGAAGCAACTGAGAAAGAACGAAAGAATGAACAAATGAACAAATGAAGATAGTTAAACCTGAGGAAGTTGATGAGACAACCAAGGGAGATCATGGAAAGGACAGAACACGGAGCCAATACCCACCTTCAGTGGGTAGGAAGAAAGAAGCTAGTGAAGGAAACAGAATGAATAACCAAAGGGTAGAAGAAAACATCTAGGACCCTATAGCAATGCAACCCAAAAGAAGAGAAAAATTTAAGAAAGTGCAGTTGGTTCATAGCATCAAATACTACAAACAGCTCAAAGAAGGTGAGCACTAAGACAAGGCCACTGATTTAAAGGAGGTCCTTGATGATCTTGACTGCTACTGCTGTTTACTACTACTCACTCTTCTCAGAACTGTCTAAGACCAGCTTTCTCAGCCATTGTTTGCATTTAGGGATTACAAATAACCAATAATATGAAACTTACCTGTGCAATCTTTTTTTCCATGATTAAAAAATTGGAAAAACAGAGACAATACAAAATAAAATCCCACCATCCAAATATAACCAGTGATTTCGCTAACTCCTTTTTTATGTTTATATTTTTATATTATTATACTGAATTCTATATCCTAATTAAACTGATTATGCTTATATTTAGTAAGCATAATTATAATAAGATTAAACATAAATAATATATTTAAATAATAAAGTTTAATTTATGCTTCATTCAGCCCAAGTTAGATTTCTCACTGTGAATCAATAAATTAGCATTCCAATTTATAAATAAAGAAAATATTTTATAGAATTAGATGCCTGCTTGGCCACAAGTATACAATGGTTTTTCTATCACATGCTGCTAAAATTACCTCTTAATTTTTATCAATAACATTATTTTACTCTAAAAGGTGGCATGCTACACTATTTAATCATATCTTGATCCATTTAGGCCTGGTTTTATTCTTTTCATGCTCCGGAGCTTGGCTGCTAAAAATAGGTTAGGCACTAGATACAGAAACTTCTATAGCAGCTGCAGGATTTTTTCTTAGGTTTTTGTTTTAATCTCTTCAGTTAAAATTAGATATACTGGTTTATAAATAATTTAATGAAGTCTAAATTACAACATGCTTGTCTGACAATTTGTTATATCTAGAAAAACAGTGTGAACTAGAATTTTCAATCCTCTGAGATTTTCTTTCTTTTTTAAAAAAGAAAAATTAAATATACTTTTTAGTTGTAGGTGGACACAATACTTTTATTTTATTTTTTAAAAAAACTTTTAGTTGTCAATGGACCTTTATTTTTTATTAATTTATATGCAGTGCTGAGAATCAAACCCAGTGCCTCACATATGCTAGGCAAGCAATCTACCACTGAGCCACAACCCCAGCCCTTTATTTTATTTTTATGTGGTACTGAGGATGGAACCCAGTGCCTCACATCTGTTAGGTGTATGCTCTACTCCTGACCCACAACCCCAACTCCCCAGATTTTTTTTCATAATTATTGGATACATTTTGGTGGAAAAAATAAAAAGTAAAAGGAATGTGACATGTGTAAATCTAAGAACTGCAAGTCAAAGGGTATAAACATTTTTAAGGTTTCTGATACATTTTGCCAAACTGAATCCAGAAAGGCTGCATAAAATTTATACTTCTTCCATCTGAGCATTGTTTTCCCATATAATTAGTGTATGCCAACCCTAGCAAATGAAAACATCTTATATTTTTAGTTGTCATGTTTACAACAGTGAAAATAAATATATATATTGATATATATCAATATATATTGGCATTTCTTTTTTATGAATTAATTATTCACATTTCTTTACCTATTTTTCTTGTGGGCATTTGCTTTTAACATTGATTTATAAGAATTCTTTATATACTCATGATATTAACTATTTGATACAAATATGTCCCCCTTATCTTTTTATTGATGGGATCTAACATAAAAGGGATATTTTATACTATCACATAAATTAATCTTTTATTTTTTCCTTGGAATCATATCTATAAAATTGTTCCTACATTCATATTTTATGGATTATTTACTCAAAGTTCTAATATAGTTACAGTGGAACACCACTGATATCAATGAGATGATTTATTTCTACCATCTAATATATATTAAGAGATTCTAACTTCCCAAAACTTATAATTACAGTTCTAACAGTGGACAATATGAAGCACAGGTTTAAAACTAAGTTCTAGACTTTTCTTACTTCAAATTTAGCTATTCAAGACAATTTTTTAAGAAAACAGTTTTGGATTTAGAAAATTCATTCAAAGTCCCCTTTAACCCATATGAAGCACAGATCTCTTGCTAGTTATCACCCACCTCTCAAAAACCTGTTAGGGATCCTTATGATGGGACAGGACTGAATGAAGCGCCTCCTAACTGGGTCCCATCGTATTTTCTTCTTACCTGTTACCACAATTATCAGCAATAAGTCAGACACATACAACACATGGCAAATAATACAGTTACTGTAGTTATAAAGACAGAAAAACAGGAAACAAAACAATACTTGAATACAGAAAGAAAGTGATGTACAGTAGCATTTAATTCTGTTTTGGAAGTCAAAATTAAATTAATATATAAGCAGTGATGAAAATTTTAAATTCTTATCCCCACAAGAATGTAAACAATTGTGTGCACCTTTCTGGGGGATTGGTTCAATAGTACGTGCACTCAGTAATCACCAATGCCATCTTGTGGCAAAAATTTACCAGAAGCTTTGCAAACAGATTAGAAACAACATATTTTTCTTAGGTCAGTGAATGTCAAAAAAGGAGCCCTACCCCACACTAACTGGGCATAACATAGGCTCCTGTTGTCTTCACGGCTCGGTACCCTTATTTTATTAGTTATAAATCAATGGTCACTATCTTTTAAGCACAAAGTAAGTTGATCTTATAATTAAAATTATATGATAGCAACCAAACAGAACAAACATTTACTATCTTGGCATTTCCAGGGAGTGGAGGAAGTTCATCTGCCTTCTCGGGAAATGCATTAGCTTGTTATTAACCCCAATTAAAACTTGTTTTCTTATAGAACAGAAAAAAATGCAATGCATTTATGAAACTATTAAATGGGGTGATTTTTCTCTCTTCCCAAAGTTTCGAGAGCTCCCAAGGATAGCTCTTACTGACAATAACAACAATTAATGTTTGTATCGTGAATAAAGCTAAAAAGAACTTTCACATATATTTCCTCATATAATTCTCACAACAATCCTGTACTGATTCAATAGTCATTTTATCAAGCACCTGCTATGCCTAGATCCTTGTGCTACAATCCAGGGTTGCAAAAGATGGATATGACTCCTATCCTTAAGAGCATAGGCTCTGGTGAGGAAGGCAGATGTATAAGCAAATAACAACATTATAATCAAGTAAGTGCTGTAACGGAAACTGTCAAAATACTCTGAACAAGATATTATCATCATTTTATAAGTAAGAAAGCCAAAGAAAAATTAAGTAAATGAATGCCAGAATCACAACTCAAACCTAGGCATTCTGAGTCTAAAACCTGCCTTCTTGTACTATACCACACTTACCCTGTCTCAAATTCCCTAGAAAAAGAATAGTCTTTGTTTTTGGCAATTGGAGGTATATTTCAATGTCCATCAGTGAGATCTAGTTTGCTTACTAAAGAATTTATACATGGAGATACACAAATTCTGTGTAATGAAATGCCATTACCTGCATACAAGCCCTTAATATTGTGGAGAAATGGATTTGTGGGTAAAGGGGAGACTTATTTATCTTTCAAAGGGTTTATCTTTTAATTCTCTAAATCTTTAAATCAGTGGTTCCCAAATATTGGTCTACAGTCTACCACTAGGCTAAGATGAAGATCCCCAACCCAACACAAAATGAGAAAAATATGGACAAGGAAGTAAGTTTTTCAAAAAGCTAAAATGTTGCTTTAAGTCCTATCCATTTCTCACAGATCTGAAACTTTTTCTTATTCAATATTTTGTATTTTATGGGATAATAGTGACATAAAATGGTAATTGGTTTTGTTTTTTAATACTCTTTCTTAGAAAAATAGAATACTTGCAAGGTTATGTCTACTTTAAAATAAATAAATATATGTTTGAGTTTATAAGTTTATGACATCCAAAAGTCTGGAGAAACACTGCTTTCAATCAATAAGATATGTGTTGATGGCTCCTGAATCCAACACTGGAAGCCACACTGTAAGAAACTTCCCTTACCCTCTAGAAGCTTATGTTCTAATCAGGGAGACAAGACACACATAAAACAATTAGGTAGCAATACAAGACAGATTATTAACAAGTGATCAGCTTAAAATTTGACATTTTTATGTATCAAAAGTGTTAAAATGTACATACCCTTTGACCCAGCTATTCCACTTCTAGGAATCTATTCCTAAAGAAACAATCATAGATGCATAGAAAGATGTATGGACAAAGATATTAACTATGGTATTACTTATAATGGTAACAAATTAGAAACACTTTCAATGTCCAATGATAGGGAGATGGTTAAGTAAGTATGCTAAATAAACATACTTAAATATGTTCATATTCTATTAACCACTTAAAAATAGTACATATGTCTGTTTATTAACATGACAAGACATTCACAATCTATTGCAAATGAACAAGTTATAAAATTGTATTAGAGTGTGATATTTTAGTACAGAAAAAAGTGTGTATATTTATAAAAAAGTACTGGAAGAATATACATCAAATTTTAATTGTGGTTATCTTTGGGTGGTTATTAGGAGTGATTTCTATTTTTTCCCCTTTGTGCTAGTCTTTATTTTCTAAGCTCTCTCACTGAATAGGCATTATTTTGGACTAGAAGAAAAACAATACAACACTACTGTAATTTTTTTAAAGTATGATTTTAAAAATACTGGAAAGAAACATACAAAAAAGTGTTAATAGTGGTTATGATTGGGTTGGGATAATCATCGCCTTATGTGTTACCTGAAAGCTTTATAACATATTATTTTATTTGCCATTTGAAATCTAAAACTACTTTAGAATACTACTGAGGAAATGACACTGAAAATTAATGAACCAAAGCTGTAATCAAAGATCCTTTTTTGGGCTGGGTGTAGCTCAGTGGTAGAACTCTTGCCCAGCATGTGCAAGACCCTGAGTTCAATCTCCAGCACTGCAAAGAAAAAAAAAAAAAAAAAAAAAAAGATCCTTTTTTAAATGTTTTCTCAGAGCTTCTTTCAAACACTTTTGGCATATTTCTCTCTCACAACCAACATGACCGTCATGGGCAAGTTCTAAAGTTGTCTCTATGGAGGTTATTCAGGCAAGGTACACACTGACTTCGGAACCCACCTTTCTTCTTTCTCAAAAAGCAGGAAAAAAGGTAAACCAGCAAATAGCAGGTTAGCACTAACAAACATGTATTTACTTTTTTTTTTTTTTTAAGAAACACATGCCTGTTCAATTTCATATACACTGCTAGTCTTAACTTTTGTTCATGAAAGTTTTCATTTTATGCATTCAAACTGCCAAACTGTATTTGTGATTGCTTGCAACCTTCATCAAAATAAAAAACATAATTTCTTCAATTATTTCATCACTATTTTTTGGAAGTTTTTAAATTTTTTTTTCTTCTTTTGGTACGTTTACTTCACCATAAAGACAACATACAGAGTCACTGAGTGGATCAAGGTGATAGCTAAACACACTGCAAGCAAACTCAGCTTCCCCCATCTCATAAATAACACAAAGCCATTAAAAAAAATCCATAATCAAAAGAAAGCAAGAAAAAAAAAAAAGCTTTTACACACGTTAAAAAAAAAAAGAAAAGAAAAGAAAGCAAGACTAATACTATGAGGAATCACTACAAGATGAAAAGCTGATAAAATCAGACTGAAGGAGGAAACTAGAGTACGTACACTCCCAGAATAAAGGGCTAGGACAAATGGTAGAAGTTCACAGGGTAAAATAAGCCCAGAGATGGAAGACAGCAGGAAAAATTGAAACAATTTACAAAATTTACAGTACAATTAGTTGAGGGTGACACAGAAGTTACACAGCAGATTAACCTCTTCCACCCATTCCACCTGTTTAAGTCAAGAGTTGTGGAATAGAGGTATTTGCTCCCAGATGGGAATTGTGGCAACAGACAACAAGAGTCCTGTGTGGGAAGGAACAATGAGTGTAAACGCTTGGACAGACAGAACAGAGCCCTGTCTGTGTGAATATTAACAATTAGGCAGAATAAAGGAAAGCTATGCTAAAGAGGACTGGCATACTGGTACACTTCATCTCATCACACGTTCAGTGTCATTGCCCTCTCATCCCTTCCCACTATCAGTGGGGACCTGTTACAATAGATAGATGTGACATTCACAGAAGGCTAACAAGGACTCTCCAATAAGGATGAGTGAGCATAAACCTAAGATCCAAACGTGAAAAAGTAGAAAGTATTTTAAAAGTTAAGATACTAAAGAGAATGGAGAATGGAGCACTCTCGTGCTATTTTTTTTTCTTTGCTGAATGAACAGATTAATCCTCAACTTCATGTGGAAATGCAAGGAACCCAGAATACCAAAACAATTTTGAAGTTGGAAGACCTGTACTTCCTGATTTCAAACTTACTACAAAGATAACTGCATTCAAAACTGTAGTAATAGCATAAAGGCAGAAATACAGATCAACAGAACAGAAATGAGGGTTCAGAAGTAAACTCAGACACTATGTCTATTGGTTTTTCCCTCCAGTATTAGGGACTGAACCCAGGGCACTTTACCAGAGCTACATCCCCCATCCCTTTTTAAGATTTTATCTTGAGACTGGGTCTTACTAAATTGCCCAGGCTGGCCTCAAACTTGCAATCCTCCTGCATTAGCCTCCCTATGTAATTGGGATCACAGGAGTGCACCATGCATTTGGCTATTGATTTTTAATTTTCATTTTTTGTTTTATTTTAATTTTTTGTTTGTTTGTGTTTTCTGTAGGACTTGGGATCAAATACAGGGCCTTTCAAATGTTAGGTAAGCACTCTATCACAGAGCTACCTACCTCCCTGACCCTTTTTTATTTTGAGACAGGTTTTCACTAAATTGCTCAAGCTGGCCTCAAGCCTCAGCCTCTCACTGGTCACTGGTCACTGGAATCACAGGTGAGCACCAATGGCATCCAGCGCAGTCCACTGTCCTTGTTTGTTTGTTTGTTTTTTGGTACTGAGATTTTTTTTTATTGGTTATTCAAAACATTACAAAACTCGACATATCATATTTCATACATTCGATTCAAGTGGGTTATGAACTCCCTTTTTTACTGGTACTGAGATTTTAACCCACAGGCACTTAACCACTGAGCAACATCCCCAGCCCTTTTTATTTTTTGAGACAGGGTCTCACTAAATTGCTTAGGGCCTCACTAAATTGCTGGGGCTGGCTTTGAACTCGAGATC